CGATCGCAACGCAGTGCGACTGCAACGCAGTGCGATTGCCATGGAACGTGACGCGATTGCAGCGCGGTGCGACTGCAACGCAACGGGGACGGTGCCACGGGGCGGCGGCGACGGGCAGGAACGGGGCCGACGCCCTCTTAGACGAGTGAGAAGAAGTGCTACCACATTGAGGGAATCTCTCCCTTTGAAATCCCATGCGTGCAGCAGTCAACACGCGGAAGGGGGTCTTCCAGCCCCCGGCCATCTCCAGGGGAGAGAGGAGAGGAGCACTCATATTCAGCACATGTAGAGACGGGGGAGGAGACGGGAGGACAAGGGCAAGGGAGGAGAGGGGGGGAGGGCGAGAAACTGGATGGGAAGAGGGAGGGAGAGACGGAGGAGTAGGCGGGAGGGGAGGGGGAGGTAAGTGAGGGGGGAAGGAGGACTGGGCCGAACAGGAGCAGGAAAAGGGGGAGGAGGGAAAGGAGGAGGGCGAGAAGGAGAGGGGAGGAGGAGGAGGAGGAGAAGGAGGAGGAGGAGGAGGAGGAGGAGATGGCCGGGGAGACGAGGAAAAGGCGGGAGGCACCCTGGAGGGGGATGCCCTCTCCTTGAGCCAGGAATGCACGCATCGAACGATGAGGAGGAAGAGGAGGAGAAAAAAGAGGAGGAGGTGGAGGAGGAGGACGACGACAACAAGAAATCACACGCACTACCCTCGCTCCGGCACCCAGCCACCAGCCTATAAGTTGTGTATGTCTGAGGGGCCAGCACTAGATCGAGGCCAGAAACGCACCACACTCGATGCCCACACTCGCCGAACATTGGGCGCAAAGCGTGGGGGGTGAGTGTGGGCGCGAGTGCGGGGCGCGAGTATGTAGTGCGAGTGTGGGCGCACAGTGCGGGGGGCGATTGCGAGGGCGAGTGCGGGGTGCGAGTGCGAAGTGCGAGTATGCAGTGCGAGCTTGGGCGCCGAGTGCGAGGGGCGGCCGTGCGCCCCGAAATGGCTGCTAGCTAGAGAGGCACGATCGCTGCCCCGCAGACATACGCAACCCATAATTACTTGTGGACGCTGCATTGGGAGTATTTGCGTGGCCTGGTGGTGGGAGTGAGGGTCGAAGATTCCCCTCGAAAACGAGAGAGAGGAAGGAGGACGACGACGCAGACGAGAGGGCCCCCGACGAAGGGGAGGATGGGAGGAGGTCCTCCTCCCCCCATGCAGGAGCCGGACATGGTGCGCCAAGGACGCGAGGAGGAGTAGGAGGCGGAGGAGGAGGAGGAGGAGGAGGAGGGAGGAGGAGGGGGAGGAGGAGGAGGGACGAGGAGAGTGAAGAGAAGGAAGTGGGACGAGGAGGACTCCCTTCCTTGGCATTCAGGCCATCGCGAGGAGGAGGAGGAGGACGAGGAGGGCGAGGAGGGCGAGGAGGAGGAGGAGGAGGAGGAGGAGGAGGACGAGGAGAAGGAGGAGGGGGAGGAGGAGCCGCGACGAGACTCGGCGGCGCGCCGAGGGGGCGCACGTGAGGAGGGGGCAGGCCCTCTCAGGGGGCGGCGGGCCTGCCCTCACCGGGCGCGCTCCGCTGCTCACGGGAAGTGCCTATACTCTTCGGTCGGGGCGGCCCCCCCCCCCTGCAGGGGGGAGTTTGGCCTGGCCCCCCACGTGCCCCAAAATACCCCCCAAAAATACCCCCCGGGCTATTTGTTTCGCCGTGCCCCAAGATTTTCACACTATTTTTGGCCTGTCCCCCCACGTGCCCCAAAATGCCCCCCCTCCCCAAAAATAGCCCCCAGACTATTTTTTCACTAGTTTGGAGTGTTCCCCCTGCTCAAGCCTGCTCTGGTCGAAGTGCCGCGCCCTCCGCCCCTGCCCCCCCCCCCCCCCCCCGGGCGCGCCGCCGCGGAGGAGGGGCCAGGCCGGGCCAGGGCCTAGAGAGTGCCACGGAGGCTCGGGGGGCAGGAAGAGGGGCAGGACAGCCGAGGGCAGGGCAGGGAAGCAGTGCCGTGCCGACCATGGCGTGGGGCCCCCGACACCGCGGGGGATTCTTCGACCTTGAGCGCTCCGCCGTTCCGGAAACGCCGGATCGTTCAGCGATGAGCCGATTCTAGGTCGCTGGCGGCGTTCGAAATTGAACACTGGCGGCGGGGTCGCTGCCAGTCGGCACGACGCGAACCTACCGTAGCCTAAGACGAAGCCAGGACGAGGATAACATCGTGTCAGGCGGCTCTGGATGATGTATCGGGCACCACTGCCTTCTCATAGCGTTTCGGAACGTTCTGAGAGCATTCTGGAGCGCTGCCCTCGTCCTACCCCCGTCCGAGAGAGTGCCAGGGAGACTCGGGGGGGACGAAAAGGCAAGACAGCAAAGGGCAGGGTAGAGAATCAGCTCCCGGAGCTGGTCACCCTGGTGCCTCCTGGCGCCGCCGCGCATCGACGAATGGGCCCGGCGGCGGGGCGGAAAACAGCTGCGTGCGGCAGATGTCGTAGTCCCCCCTTTCCCTTTCCTGCCCTTCTGCCCCGCCCGAGCCAGGGAGGAGGGGGGGAGGACTTCTCTTCCGCGTCGTGCACAGCCTCCCCGCCGCCCTCCCGCGCCCCGCGCGTGGGAGGAACTCGCTCCGGAGGCGAACTTCGGCCTGGACTCGACGCGCCTCGGGGGCCGAGCGCGGCGACCCTCGAGGCGACTCGCAGGGCGAGCCTCGTGGGAGCTCGGCGCCGAAGGAGCGGCAGCCCGCGGCGGAGGGTGGGGGGGAGGGCAGCGTGCGCGCCACCACCGGGGGGCCCGGCCCCTGTCCAAGGCAAGGAGGGCGAGGAGGAGGAGGACGAAGAGGAGGAGGAGGAGGAGGAGGAGGAGGAGGAGGAGGAGGACAAAGAGGAGTAGGAGGAGAAGGAGGAGGAGGAGGAGGAGGAGGAGGACGAGGAGACGTTCCAGGATCTCCGGAGCATCCGGCGGCCCTCGCCTGTGCAACCACGCGCGGGATTCGTGCGGGCATCCGGGGGATGCTGGAAACCTCGAACATCTTGAAGCGTATCATCATCATCATCATCATCATCATCATCATCATCATCATCATCATCATCATCATCATCATCATCATCATCATCATCATCATCATCATCATCATCAGCATCAGCATCATCATCATCATCATCATCATCATCATCAGCATCAGCATCAGCATCAGCATCATCATCATCACCAGCATCCTCGGCATCCTCAGCATCCTCATCATCGTCATCCTCAGCATCAGCATCAGCATCAGCATCAGCATCAGCATCATCATCATCATCATCATCATCATCATCATCATCATCATCATCATCAGCATCATCATCATCTTCATCATCATGACCTCTGCTTCTCTGACCGACGGATGTTGCCAAATAAGACCCTGGCCCATCGTGACCCGGGCTCTTGCAGGGGGGCCCAGGTGGCCTCCAGAAGCACCTGATCACGCACGCGGGACGACAGAGGTCACGAGGGGCTCCAGAGCGCAAAGCTGGGGGGCACCTTGGGCCAGGACCACCTCTGGCACCCCCCGAACTGGGCATTGCCAGCGGTGGAGGCAGCACGCCGATCAAGGGGCGGCCGTTACGCGTATTCACCAGGAAGCCTCGCAGAAGCCTTGGGCCATCGGAGCCCTCTGCCTGCTGCAGCCACCGGCGGATGAGCTCACGTGGCTGGTTTTCCCGGCGCCTGCCTGCGCCAGGTGCGCCACTGCATCGAGGGAGACGCCTGGCGGTGGGGCCGAGAGCAGCTGCGTGCGGCAGCGTGCGCACCCCCCCAACCCTGTTTGCCCAAGGCCCCCTCTCTGAAGGGGCCCAGGGACGCACAAAGAAATAAACACAAATCCCAGGATTCCCCCCATTTTTGGTGTTGTTGATATTTTCGGGATGCTCGTCTTCCCCCCCACTTTCCATATGTTCGTGCATGTTCCTGGGAGTCGACGATTACTTGCGTCTGTGTGTTGTTACCCCTCCTGAGACCCTCAAGGCCCCACTTTCGTCCGACCCGGATCAACAGCCTCCGCACGCCCGCAACGTGCCCACCTCAGATTGGTGCTAGAAGCCGGCTCCCGAGCCTAGAATTAGGTTGGGCATGTCCTCCCACAGGCGGAGTTTTGAGGAAAAAGAAAACACTGCCAACAAAATATGAAGGGGCCCTGGGACACACAAATAAATACACACAAATAAAACGACTCCCCATATTTTCCCATATTTTCTGGGTTTTTGTCTTCCCCACCACTTCCCATATTTTCCTATATTTTCTGGGGGGTCGACGATTAATTGTGTCTGTGTGTTTTTCCTCCTCCTGAAAATACTCCAATGCAATCCAAGAGGGTCGAACCGTTGTCCCCAGACTGCTTTTTGACTTTTCCTCCTGTAGAGGGACGCGCCCGACGTACGCCTGGAAGGCCCCGCTCACTGAGACCCTGCCCCGTGCACAGAGGAACAAAAGACGGCACAAACATGTTCCTTCGGACGTCCGCGCGGCTTCCTTGGATCGGCGGCCCCCCCCCCTGGTGGTCCAGGGCGCCCTCCGCACGCCCTGGGAGGGGATCCAACGCCCATGCTTCGAGTCAGCGCGGACCTCCGAAAGTCTCTGCTTTCGGCAAGTTCGTGTCGTGTCGACCCCGGCGCTGGTTCCTGACGCCGCCGCAGTCGTTCGACCTTGAACGATCGGCCGTTCCCGAAACGTCAGATCGCTCAACATCGACTGATTCTGGGTCGCCAGCTGCGTGTAGCGTTGAACGCGGGCGGCGGGGTCGCCGCTTGTCGGCACGACGCGAACTAAACGCACGCCGTTCTCTCTCCTTCGAGTGGAGGCTTCATGGTGGCGCGCGCCTTCTCCCCCCTCCCAAGCTCGGCTACACCCAAGAGTGACCCTGGGTAAGAGTGACCTTTGGTGCGCGGCTTTTTGGGGGCTGCGGGGAGACCAAACCTGGGCGCGCAAGCCGCTGCTGCCGCCTCGTTCTCAGCCATCTGAGGGCCCATCTGTGCCCGCACCGAAGGTCACTCCGGCGAAAGGTCAGTCTTACGTCTAGTCGACAAGCGCAGGCGCTCACGCCCCGCTGTACCTCCGGGGGTGGGCAGAACATCCTTCAGCAGAACACCCTCTCGTGAAAGCTGCGCCAGAGGGGCAGGCCGCGTGCGCACGGCACCGGACTCCGAGGGGGCCCCAGCGGGGCAGCACGTCGACGTCCACAAACAACCGAACGCATAAGAGCGAGCCGCACGGCGATCAGCGAAAGCGACTGGGGAACGCACCGGTGCACCCGCGTGCCCCATGCCGAGTGAACCCCTCGTGGGGGGCCACATGCGAACCCTGCCCCTCCCCCCCGCGATTACTGAGGGAGAGGGTGGGGTTCACTTCGTTCGGGAGAGAGCCCCTGAGCGAAGTGAACCCCACCCCACCCTCCCCCTCAGAAATCGCGGGGGGTAGGGGCAGGCTTCGCACGTGGCCCTCTGCCTCGGTCGACCTGTCCGGGCGGGCGCCCTCTCGGTGCCCGCTGCACCTCGCGAAGAGGAACCCGCGGGAGGCGCCCAGGCCGGTGCCCTGCCCTGGCGCCGGCGCGTCGGCCCGCCTCCGCCGCTTGCCCTGCGGGCGGGCGGCGGGCTGGGAGAGGGAGCCCGGAGGCTGCACACCGCCGTTGGCCCTGGGCGGCCAGGGAGCTCCAGCTCCAGGGGGAGCAGCAGCAGCAGCAGCAGCAGCAGCAGCAGCAGCAGCAGCAGCAGCAGCAGCAGCAGGGGCCTCTACACCACCACCGTGCCTGGCCAGTGGCCCCGCGCGGATCCAAGGAGTCCGCGCGGAGGGCCAAAAGTTTGTCTCTGTGGCGTTTCTTCTTCCATTCTCCCCCTCTGAGGTTGGCGGCGTGCGGCATCCAGCTCCCGAGGCTGCGCGGGGTCCCCAACCGGGGCCCGGAGGTCGGGGCTCGCGTCGACGCCGATCGCCGCCCCGTGGGAGGAAGCGGCAGGCGGTGCCGCTCTGGCTCGGGTGTTGCTAGAAGTGCCCTTGGCCCAAGGTGCCCCTAGCTTTTCACTCAATTCAATTTTGGAGCCCCTGGGGCCCTCTGGGCCTCGTGAGGGGTGCTCTGGAGGCCGCCTGGGCCACCCCGAGAATCCTGGGGGTACCTTGGGCCAGGGGCACTGCTAGCAACACCCGCTCTGGCGGCGTCGGCGGCCGCGGCCGCCTCGGTGCCGAGGCCGACGTCGAGGCACAGGTCGAGGCCGAAGTCGAGGCAGGCCGCTGGCCCCCCCGCCTGGGGCTGCGGCCCTCGTGCTGCCACAACTCGGTCGGGCGTGTCACCCTTCGGGCGGATTCTGGACGAAACTTGATGGCCCAAGAATATGTTAACACTGTCAACACTATATCCAAAAAATCGTCCCCAGGCTGTTGTTTGGACTATTCTTGAATCTGGAGGGAGATGGGCATGCCCGAGTTAGGCCTGGGCATGCGGCCCTCGTGCTGCCAGCAGGGGAGGCCGCCGGAGATCATAGCCTCGGGAGCAGCGGGGGGTTCTGCGGGCCTCGGCCAGGCTCGGGCACGGAGGGGGGCCCCCCCTGACCTTCGGGGGCGGCCAAGGAGGGGGGCGTCAAAGAGGGGGGCGGCCAGGAGGGGGCGGGTCCAAGAGGGGGGCGGCCAAGAGGGGGGGGTCCAAGAGGGGGGCGGCCAAGAGGAGGGCGTCCAAGAGGGGGCGGCCAAGAGGGGGTTCCAAGAGGGAGGCGGCCAAGAGAGGGGAGTCCGAGAGGGGGGTGCAGACCATGGCCGGCGGCATGCGCGTGGCCCAGAGGGGGGGGCTGGGGACGTAATGGAATGAAAAGAACGCCATGGAACCTGAGGAAATATCATGGCCCACGCCAAGATACCCACCTCCCCTAGCCATCACCCCTCTCATGGCCTCCTCCGACAGGCCTGGACCCCACCAGCCGACCGGGAAGCAGAGCCGCTCCTGAGCAGCCCGACGTGATACTGCAACGTCCTCGCTGTGTGTGTGTGTGTGTGTGTGCGTGTGTGTGTGTGTGGGGGGGGGGGAGGCGTCGTCTCTCCTGCCGCGGCCCGTCCTCTGGCGGAGCGGATTCTCGCGACCGGAGGCATGGGGGGGCAGGGGAAGTTATCCAGGGAGAGACGGGACCAGACGACAAGACAGGCTCGAACTACACACCTAAACGTCTGCTCGGCAAACGGAATCGGTGTATATACGGCACAGCTTCCCAAGGAGCGGGATGTGTCAGCACACGTACGCATCAGCCTGACGAGAGACCCAACCATATGCACCTGCGAGTACCGCACTGTGGGTGCCGTTTTTCCGCTTTCGGTGGAGCTCTTTATGGGGCCACGAAGCGTGTGAGGGGCGTACCGAATCGGGAACGGTGGTGTCTTGCGAACCCTCCCACTGGGGCCTTCGGTGGAGTTTCCACTGAAGCCACGATACGTGTGAGGGGGTGTACCGAATGAGGTGCGGTGGTGCCATGCGAATCTTCTCACTGGAGCCTTCGGCGGAACTCCCTATGGGGCCACGAACTTTGCGAGGTGTGTGCCACATTGGGCGCGGTGGCGTCATACGAACCCTCCCCACTGGAACCTTCGGGAACCCCCCATGGGGCCACGAACCGTGTGAGGGGTGTGCCGAAGTGGGCGCCGTGGTGCCATGCGAACCCTCCCACGTGAGCTTTCGGTGGGATTCCATATGGGGCCCCACAAATCGTGTGAGGGGTGTGCCGAAATGGGCATGCGGTGCGCGGGGAAGACGCATGCGGACGCGGCCACAGGGGCTTTCGGTGGAGCTCCATACCGGGTGCGAACCGTGTGAAGGGTGTGCCGAAATTGGCATGCGGCGGGCGGGGAAGGCGCATGCGGACGCGGCCTATGGGGCCTTCTGTGGAACTCCCTATAGGGGCCACGAACAGAGTGAGGCGTGTGCCAAGATAGGCACGCGGCGGGCGGGGAGGGCGCATGCGGACGTGGCCATTGCGGCCTTCGGTGGAGCTTCCTATAGGGGCCACCGGCATGGGCATGTAGTGGGCGGAGAGGACGCATGCGGACGCGGCCAATGGGACCTCCGGTGAAGCTCCCTGCGGGGCCGCGGACCGTGTGAGGGGTATGGTCGAATGGACATGCGGTGCGCGGGGAAGACGCATGCGGACGCGGCCACGAGGGCCTTCGGTGGAGTTCCCTATAGGGCCACGAACGAAACGTGTGAGGGTGTGCCAAAGCGAGGAGGGGGGACGGGAAGAGGGACGAGGAGGAGGAGGAGGAGGAGAAGGAGGAGGAGGAGGAGGAAGAGGAGGAGGAGGAGGAGGAGGAGGAGGAGAAGGAAAAGGAGGAAGAGGAAGGGGAGGAGGAGGAGGAGGCGGAGGAGGAGGAGGAGGAGGATCAGGAGGAGGAGTGTCATGAGTGTCGTAGATCCAAGACACGAACGGCGAGCGAGGCTCAACCGTCACCCTCGGGCTCCCAGACAGGAGGAAGGGTCCCGCAGGCGCCAGCACCGAAGGTCAGGGGAAAGGCAGATACCTCGTCGCTCAGCGATTCGCTGCCCAACCGAGACGGCGTGGTGCGTAGGGGGACAGCCAGTCCACCGCGTCACCGCGCAGTACTTCCCGACCGTCACCCATGCCGAATCGGATAGCATGTGCAAGTGGGTTTGTACCCCAGGGTGAGCGGACACAAGGTCCCAAGGGACTTACGGACCACATAGCCCCGCCTCTCAACCAAATGCACATTCCCCGTGCCTGGAACCCATCTCCAGGTCACGGGCGCAGCTAACGCGCCGCCGCCACGGGCAAAGTGCCATGTGGCTGGTGCAAGAACGACGAAAGCCGGTTCATCTGCCCCCCGCCGCCGCATGCAATTGACACTTACAGTGTGCCCCGAGGAATGTGTGGCGCTGACACCCTGAGAACAGGTGCCAGGCCTCCACCCTCGGGGGAGGAGGAGGAGGAGGAGGAGGAGGAGGAGGAGGAGGAGGAGGAGGAGGAAAAGGAGGAGGAGGACTAGGAGGAGAAGAACGAGGAGGAATAGGAGGAGGAGGAGGAGGAGGAGGAGGAGGAGGAGAGAAGAGGAAAGGAGAAGAAAGGAGAGGAGAGGAGAGGAGAGGAGAGAGGAGAGGAGAGGAGAGGAGAGGGGAGAGGAGAGGATATTATGAGAGGAGAAGAGAGGAGAGGAGAAGAGAGGGGAAAGCTGGGACCGTCTCCTCAAAACGAGAAACCAACACCACAGGATGTCTGGGAGAAGCTCCCTTGCCCAAAACCTGGGCTATCGATCAAACCCAACGGCGTGGCGCACATGAGGAAGCCAGGAAATACCAATACAGCTACTCCCCGGAACTCTCCCGAGGTGCGTTCTGACCAGGAGTTCGAGGCGAATCCAGCGGTGGCGACGAGGGCCACCCAGGAAACCCCTAAGGGGAAAGGCGAGCAAAAGGGCAGCGGAATGGCTACCCCTTTCCTGCTCTGTGACTCCGTCGACCCCCCTCCGAAACGAGACGAGCGCCGGTGCCGCGCCCGCGCGCGGAGCACGCGGGCGCCCGCGACGGCGGGGGGGGGTGCGCAGTTCCCTTCCGATCGGGCCTTCGTGGCCTTCTCCGGGCTGGCCGTGCTCGCAGGGGGGCGGAGCAGTGAGGCCGGTAGTGAGATCCATTCGGGCCGGGCGAAAGGGGGGGATAGCAAAGGGGGGGTTTGAGAATCAGCTCACGTAGCTGATTTTCCTGGCGCCTCCCGGCGCTGGAGGCGGCTATGTATCGAGGAATGGGCCCCTCGGTGGGGCCGAAACCAGCTGCATGCAGCAGATTTCGTAACGCTCCCTTTTCCAATCCCCCCCTTTCGCCCGGCCCGATCCATGGAGTGAGACGTTGGTCCCTTCTCCCCGAACCTCCTGATCAACCGAAGGGTCCGGAGAGCCCACAATGGAATCGGCAGGTCGGATCGGCAATCAAAATGCATCGGAGCGTCGAAAATCGGCAGCCGAGTCGGGCAAAGTCGAATCGGCCAAAATCGGCAGGATAGTATGCCTCCAATAAGAAATCGGAATCGGAATCGAAATCATAATCGGAATCGGATGCCGTCGAACTCGAATCGGATTGAATCGGAGAAGTCGAAGTGAGCCCCGAAGACTGGCCGTCAAGGTGTGGTACATTGTCGATGTGGGCCGACGTGGTGTCTCTGCATGGCCGGAGCCAGTCGTGTGCCTCCGGGCTAAACAAAATTATCCCGGCAAAGCAACCTAACAGCGATGTGTAGGAGCATATTTGGAAGCATTCCCCTTAAGGCTCAGATGAGAATCCAGTTGTAGAATTCTGCTGTTCGCGCAGTCGTAGTCGCATTCGCGATGACAGTCGCAGCGGCAACGGCAGTCGCAGTCACAGCCTCCGCCTCAGCCTGCCTCAGCCTCAGCCTCAGCCGCAGCTTGCCTCAGCCTCAGCCTGCCTCAGCCTCAGCCTCAGCCTGCTTCAGCCTCAGCATCAGTCTGCCTTCAGCCTCGGCCTCAGCCTCAGCCTGCCTCAGCATCACCCTGCATCAGCCTCAGCCTCAGCCTGCCTCAGCATCAGCCTGCCTCAGCCTCAGCCTCAGCCTGCCTCTGCCTCAGCCTCCGCCTGCTTCAGCCTCAGCCTCAGCGTCAGTCTGCCGTCGGCCTCGGCCTCAGCCTGCCTCAGCCTCAGCCTGCATCAGCCTCAGCCTCAGCCTCAGCCTGCATCAGCCTCAGCCTGCCTCAGCCTCAGCCTCAGCCTCAGCCTGCCTCAGCCTCAGCCTCAGCCTGCTTCAGCCTCAGCCTCAGTCTGCCTGCAGCCTCGGCGTCAGCCTCAGCCTGCCTCAGCATCACCCTGCCTCAGCCTCAGCCTCAGCCTCAGCCTCAGCCTCAGCCTGCCTCAGCATCAGCCTGCCGCAGCCTCAGCCTCAGCCTGCCTCTGCCTCAGCCTCAGCCTGCTTGCTTCAGCCTCAGCATCAGTCTGCTTTCAGCCTCGGCCTCAGCCTCAGCCTGCCTCAGCCTCAGCATGCCGCTCAGCCTCAGCCTCAGCCTGCTTCAGCCTCAGCCTCAGCCTCAGCATCAGTCTGCAGCCTCGCCTCAGCCTCAGCCTGCCTCAGCCTCAGCCTTCAGCCTCAGCCTCAGCCTCCTTCAGCCTGCCTCAGCTCTCAGCCTGCCAGCCTCAGCCTCAGCCTGCTCAGCCTGCAGCCTCAGCCTGCCTCAGCCTCAGCCTCAGCCTGCCTCAGCATCAGCCTGCCTCAGCCTCAGCCTCAGCCTGCCTCTGCCTC